TTTCATTACAGGTTTACTTTTGGGTTGAATCCAAGATTTTTTACAGGTTCACTTTCCTCAGGTTGAAATATAGGTGCAACAGATACGTACGTACTGTATGGGAAGTATACTACTACGTGCTACTATGTACTAGAAGGGAAGCATACGTACATATGATGCTCCCTCGGAATGGAAGGACATACCATTCCTACCTACATATCATAATGTACTATTCATATATATATATATATATATATCATACGATCCATCATATAGAAGATAGCAAGAGGTCTGAGATATCAATCGAAGAATACCTCACGAAGAACAGAGATGTCACAAGTCGGGAATAGAAGAACCTCCATGTAGATTGCCTACCAGGTCTACGTGAGGCTCTAATGGGAACTTTGGAATTCTTGTGAACACGCTTGGTAATCTTAATCTTATAATTTCAATTTTCATACACACTTAAGAGTACACGTAATCTCGTGCACAGTAATTACTAAGTGATTTTGTGTGTCGAAATTAATCAACCCTAAAGAAAATCAACCAAAATACCACCACATCAACCATGGTGAAATCAACCAACTCCTCTTCACGAAAACAAAACTCATATCAATCATGCCTTACCATTGAGGATAAGTTCAAGGAGAGTGACATCAAAGAGATCAGCCTCTTTGTGGATCATCAGGCAAGGACGGAGACCTCCGGCAGAGGATCCAATCTAAGGACAATTCAAATCCCTGCTATGAGGCTGAAAAGAACCTGTCCAATCTTGTTCTCTGGGAAATATGGAGTACATGAATTATTCTATGTACAAGAAGGATTGGAAGATGCAATAGACGATTTGGAAATAGCGGATGGACAGATAGACAAGGAATGGGTAATGGTTTTGGCCCATCGACCGAGGCAGAATTGGAACAGCATGTGGAAAGGTCCCAACAGATTGACAGTAGGGAGAAATACCAAAGAACAGTGGAAACAAGCCCTTGTCTCGTTTAGAGAATTTTACGCACCATCAAAGAGAGCAAGAGATGAGGTGATTGCGTACTTGGAGTCGGATGCCATAAAGAAGCCCCAAGATACCACCACTTGTCAGGAACACGCAGAGAAGGTTATCGTTTGCTGCAAGAGAGCCAACACCATCCTTCATGGTATTAAGAGCCCCTTATCTGAACGAGAAATTAAGGAGATCCTCTTCCACTCCTTCCCCAATGCTTGGCAAGAGAAATACATTAGCTGTGGTGAGGATTTTTTGTGTGGAGCGGGGGGGGAGGGGGGAAATAAAGACGGGAAAATGAGAAAAAATTGACACCCGGGGAATTGCCAATAACTTGCCACTACGGGGTTTGCCTTCAATAGCTCTATTCTCTCATAACAGAGCGCGATGCGGAGCAATAAAAAATGATGACCCCTGGCCTGATTGCGTCAGGTTTATTAGAATCAGACAAATTTTAACGTATCCGTTATCTAAGCAACAACGGAATTTCAATTTCAAATTTCTCGTTGAAATCGACAGAAGAATTGAAATTTAACGCCAAACATCTCATGAGGATACCATATTCAACGCAATACGACATTGGCTCGTTCCGACTCGACTGTCATCAGAGCAGAAGAGGATTCTAAAGTGTAGAGATCGGTACCCGCGTCTAAAATCAACACCATTCTTGATCGGTGAAAAGGTTTCGAGACCTTTTCAGATCTTGATCGTTGCGAATGACCAGATACCACCCAAACGACGTGACCGAAAGCCGAGAAGGAGACGAAGTTTGCAGAGGAGACAAATGGAACTACGAAAAACAAGACCGGGATGGACCAAATGGAATGTCAGGACCTGAACGACTCTATTCATGTGGTCGAGAAAACGAGAATAAATACCGTTGGCAAGCAGACAGCGAGTCAAGCGACGACGCGATAGAGTTTACGAAAGAAAGATACAATGTACGAAAGCACCGATGTTACGAATCATCAACTGCATCCATCTCGACAACAACGACCGCAAATCCACTGGCGAGACCACGATTTAGACGTTATGCGAACCAAAAGGCAGAGCAGAAAGTAAATATCGAAGATGTAGCTTCTGATTTAGTCTCTAGGCTTGTCGGTCAACTGAACTTCTCTCGATCGCTCAGCTCTTCGTATATTTCATTGGCCGGAGAATCAGAGTCTGATGATGACTGTGGTGTTTCGTCATCGAAAAGTATAGAACCCTCTGGTGAAAATATCAACAATCGAGAAAAAGAAACAAGTGAGATCGAAACTGCATTTTTTCAATTGCTGAGTTGGGACGAAAGACAGAACCACGAGATATCGTCTGATTCAATTGAAGGCGATAAAACGGGAGTTGATCGTAGCTATGATGCTGGTGATGAGCACAGCACTTTCACAAGAAAGTTTGAAAATTCGGAAGACAAAAATTTCATGAAGGATACCGAACCTACATTTTTTCAGTTACTTAGTTGGGATGAAGAGAAAGTCAGCGAGAATTCTTCTGACTTGCTCAATAGAGTTTCCAAGAAAAGTGATAGTAACTTGAGGCGACATATGAGTGAAGAAGATACTTTAAACTTGTCCATTCCCTCGAGAAACCAAGAATATTCAGATTGTTTATGCAGAGCCGAAGAGAGAACAGAACCGTCCATAGATGCTGCAACATTAGGTACTAGAAATGAAGCGGAAGTAGATGTACCAGCTGAGTCCTTTTGGACTTCAGGAACGAATGATTCTCCACGCTGTCAGAAAGACGGAGAGACTAATGGCGTTGTCAGTAACTCGGGGAAAAGTATGAACGAAGAAATCACTAGTACCTCCGTATCCTTGACAAATCAAGAACATTTAATTCAATCCAACAAAGCCGAAGAGAGAACGAAACTAGCAGTTCACGTTTCGCAACCTTCATTATTGTCGCAAACATCTGAATCAAAAACTTTGGATGGAGTAGAAAAGTTTTCATCAGTTGCACGCTCTCGGATTCATACAAAGAACGATTCTCCCCTATGCAAAGGTGTACAATTCTTTAGTAGCTGTCACATCCCTAACATTCAGTCACAAGACAGCGAATATAGCCACAGTAAAACTATGACCACTTATAGCAGTCACGAGGAATCACAAATCATATCAATTCACAGGTATAGTGACGATTTAACCGAAGGAAACGATACCATCACCACCGAAGTGGATGGAGATAAGCGATTCAAGTCATTGGCATCCAAGTGGAAAGGAAGAAAAAATATGACATCAAATGCTGTGCCACTCTCTATCGATAAAAGTATGAAAGAGAAGTATAATCAATCAGTAAGAAGAGTGACTGACAGTAATAATTCAATTGAACGAAAGGATGCTTTAAGCTTCAAAATGGAGAGTGATAAGCGAATCCAGACACTAGCATCAAAGTGGACAGAGGGGGGGGAGAGGATGTCAAGTGCTATGCCCCTCTTGATAGAAACAAGTATGATAGAGAGTACCAAACAATCAGAGAGAAGAGCAGACAATGCAAGGGAAGGCCGTTCCCCAGATCCAAAGAGTATCGCTGTGTATTCAGACACTGAGTTAACATCAAACAAGCAACAACTTCTCGGCACGAAAAATAAAAATGAAAAACTTTCTCCCGACGAGAAAATCAATGGCAGAGATTCTACTTCCTTGATCCGACAAGATACGATTGGAAAACAAGATTTTGCGAAGACTAGAGATAATGTTGGAAAGGTCCGGACAAAGTCGGCTCGAACGAATAAGCAAAAAGAACAACTCTTCGGAATTGATTGTGTTGTGCACCAATCTTTTTGTCCAAGTGATGAAGAACCCAATGACGTTGAAAATGTCGAAACTGTAGAAAAATCTACATCAGATAAAAATGAAGGAGTTGTAGAATATTCACCAAAATACGATGAGTCTATCACCAAGGCAACAATCGCATCTTGTTCAACTACCAAAAAAACAAAAGCACCTGCTATAAAGGAGTTGATGAAACGTATAGATGCATGCGGCTCAAATGACCAGTACATCGATAATTTGCTGTCTAACATTGATTGCATTGTACATCGTCTTATAAAAGAAGGGAAACTTCCAGGGAACAATATAAATGACGAAGACAACGATCCCTTGCAGATGACGCTGAAAAACAATACTGAAGAACTCTTAAGAAACATTTCATTTCTTCGAGCTCACCGTGTCGAAAGGTCCGCTGAGAAGACCTTGAGCTCTCAGACGATACCAATCTCGTCAGCGATGGACAATCGATTATCAGAAAAGAATCGAGGAAACCTTTCCGATACGAAGGGGAACAAAGCAAGTATCAATCGGATTCGACGCAGATCAGCGTCAAATTTGGCAGAAATACGAGCAAAACGTCATGAAACCGTCATGCGAATCAATAAGCAACGACAACAGCTTGCGATGCTGAAGAACGCGAGATCTTCTTCAAAACAGCCCTCTTCGATTGAAGTCGCCAAGAATAGTTCGTTACCAAGGCCATCAGTTTCCAACAGTCGCAAGAGAAGGCCAAGGCCGGAAGACATTATGCCTGTTCAAACTCAGATTTCGAGGTCAACTTCACCGGGTGCTAACGGCCGAAATCCACAACTCAAAACCCAGATTGTTCAACCCTCTGCGTCTTATATTGATTTGGTAGAATGGGAAAAGACTGAGCTGAAGAAGTTGCCTCTCATTTTAGAATCTTCAAAAACCGAACGTGGGGAAAGTGCCGACTCATATGACGATTGCCAATCATTTACGACTATCAATAGAAAGAACGGCAATGCTGTTCGATTTAGCACGTAATGGTGACATTGCAACCGCTTTTACTTCCCAACAGTAGAAAAGACACCGCCTACTTGACGCAGCGTATGACTGGATATTTACTCAATTCGAGAAAAACTTACTACAGTACGTAAAAATATATATTACAATTCACGGGGGCAAAAGAATCAGAAAAAGGATGTGATCTTTTCTCATCAGTTTAAACGATTCTTGTACCAACCAACTTTATCCGTTCCACCCAATGTAATGTATTGACTAACGACTCGCAGTTATAGCTTCTTTCGCAATGATTCCATCTTATCTACGTAGGCCGCAATTGCAACATTGTTATCGCCCATAAAAATCCCCCTCTCAGTGCGAGGATTAATATCAGAAAGACCAAATCAGCCACAACATACCCAGCCCGACGGATTTCTCTGTTATGCGTTGCGGTGGCACCACCACCAGAACAATATTTCTTCTTGCTGTTGTAGTACATCATCAACAACAACTGGAATCATGGAAAAGAAGTAGTAGCAAAACTTCTGCTGTTAGTACAACTGATGGTCATTGGTCACCACTGCATGAACAAGCTAGTAGAACAAAAATATTGCACAATATAATGTATATATTCCGTTACTAGCTGTTAGTAGAGATCATATATTCACTACCCAATCTTACTACCAAATCTTCCTTCATGGACGTTCGATCATCATACGATCATAGTCACATCCTAATGCTTCGTCAATATTGAGAAGAAACCAACGATAAACACTAGCGTGATTATAATTTGTCTTCTCGGCAGAGCTAAAATTCTTCACGATCCTTGTGAACAACTACCAAGATATTTGATTCCACCAACACCGAAATTGCCGCCTGAATATACTACCTCACCGCCATATTTGATTTCTAACCCCTCCCCGCTAATTCCATCTCCAAATTTATCTCGGATATTATATATCGTGCACTGGAGTGGATCAATGCATGATGTAAATTGATACGTTTGAAAGCTGTCAAGATTCGTGTGATGAAATAAAGTTTGACTTCCTTCCTGTAACCAGTGATACGTGTCATAGGCGTATCTATCTGTGCGGAGAGTAATCACGAGATCAACACAACCCGAAGCGTCGTTTCCCGTACTACTTCCAGCACCACTATTGGAGCTACTGTTGTTTTCATCGACATTCCCAGGAACACTATCGTTACTGCTATCGTTGTTATTGCTATCGTTATTTGATATGGCCTCGACAGCGGCAAGGGCATTCACAATACCGTAACCAATATAAGAGTCTTTTCCAGTTGTGCTGGGGTTCTCGGCGGAAGTTTGGATTGCAGAAATAAGCTCTGCTGGTGTTGCGGATGGGTTCACACTCAGCATAAGGGCGACCACACCAGAAACGTGAGGGCAAGCCATAGAAGTTCCACTAACGGTAGCATAACTTCCATTTTCCCATGTGCTTAGCTATGAAGAATGAAACAAAGAAGCGAAGAAGATCAGTTATTGTCGTAGGTCGAATCGCATAACCAATGCACATATATTTGTAACTTACAATACTGCTCCCAGGAGCAGCAACATCCAACTTGTTGTTTCGAGTGGAGAACGAGGAGCGATCGCCGTTCCAGTTGACGGAAGCAACACTGATAACGTTGTCGTAAGCAGCTGGATAAAGAAAATCGTAACCACCAGTATTCCCTGACGCTGCCACCGTAACGATTCCAAATTTCTTTTCTAGATCTTCGTATGCCTGCTGCTCGTAGCCTATAGAGACGGTTCCACCAAGACTCATTGAAATAACCTTAGCACCGCCATCCTTACAAACCTGGAGTGCAGCGATGATGTTGGAACTAAAGAATTGACCATTGGTACTGAAGACGCGAGCGGTAAATATTTCTGCACCTGGAGCAACCCCCACGACTCCTTGATTGTTATCGCTCGCCGCAATAGTACCTGTTACGTGGGTACCGTGCCCATCTGTATCGCGCCACCATGGTTGTACCAATTCGTTGCCATCGTATCCGAAGAGGCGGTTGGAGTCGAGATCTGGATGGTCTCGATGGACGCCCGTGTCCATAACACAGATTCTAACATTCTCTCCTTTTGTTTGAAACTTTTCCCAAACTTCTGTTGCCTTTACCATCTCAATCCCGTAAGGAATTGCCTGGCCGCTGGACTGCAATGATCTATGCACCTGAATGGAATCTTTTATGTGCATGGTTTCGCGCGGAGCATCATCAACAACTCCTTCGAGATTGTCAAGAATAGAGGTGTCTCCTCGGATCTCCGCAGCATGGACATTCGGCAATTGCAAGTAATTGGTGAAACGAAAGCGATCTTGTGCTTCCTCCGGGATCGCATCCCAGATACGATTCCTGCAAGAGTATTCGTTTTCGGTTGACTTGCAAGCGATCATCACGTGTTTCACTTCATCAATGATAGTAGCTTCGCCGTTAGCTTCTTTGATTTGCTCCCCGCCAAACGAGAGAAGTCGAATGTTTTTCATGGTGTCGTCTTCTCGCAGGGTATCCGAACTGCTTGGTACGACTGATTTCTTGCCATTGCCGAACCTGCCCCCGCGCAAGGCTCCAACGGTTTTCTCGCCTTTGCCTTCGCCTAGTATTTGGTTCAAATCCGAATCATTACCGATTGCGGTGACAGTAGTCGCTAGGAAAACACCCAAGAATAGGAGATAGTATGCAATCATTTTTATCTTCGTTTGAATATTCTGGTTTTTATGGCAATGTGCGTATTGCAAAAGTATGAAAGTATTATCACTAGCAACAACGTTTGCAGGTGATTCGTCACGATAATGTTGGATTTTTGTTCATTCGAATCAGAAGGTATTGCTCGAACAATGTGACGCCAATACCGATTGAATCAGGATTTCGCATTTGGCACGATCATCGACACGAGGTTTCAGTACGTTGCACGGGTATTACTTTTTTTGTGGATCATCCTCATCGTGTGTGCCCATCCGGAACCCATTCAAGTCGTATGTGTAATACAGCCTCCTGAAAGCGGAGAACCGATGCACGATAGGGTCAATAATGTATTTATAAAAAGTGAGACTTTAATGACTCCGAAAATTATCATTGGAATCATAAAATACTTAACAACATGCCGCATTCATAGAGAAATGGCAGAGCCCACATATTATTTTTAATTCCTTTGGGAATCGCAGAAAATATCAATATGGGATATGAGTTGTATTTAGTGATTCATCGAGAACGAGTTTAACCCTATCCAATGACCAGTCGCTCTCCTTACGCATGTTCGTGAGTCGTGCAGTATTATTTCAGGTAACCCCAACAGGTTTGACACGAATAAATTCAAATCAGATCCGATACTGGTGATTTTGGCACTCCGATAGTTTCCAATGGCGGGCAGAAGTGCTCTTCCTTACCTTTCCAAAAGCAGTCCACATGTTCGTCCGGTTTGTTTTTACAACTCAAATTGGTTTTCTCGAGTCACATCTTCTGCGTCATTCGTGTTCACGTGGGGAGCCTAACCGACCCACGAGGAAACGATTTTCTCCGCGAGAGCTCCCCATACCGTATTTTGATCGGCAACTTTTTGGTTGGGGAGTATCAACGGCAGCATCATTGGTACCGTAGACAGCACAACGTCACTTTGCAGTTCTCTCACAGCAGGCTGGAAAGAAACTTTTTACTTCCTCACCCCGCCGGGTCTTTCCAAAGGTACTCGTACCGGTATATCATTTACTGTATCATAGTACAGTACGAACTTTACTCGTGACTTGTTGGAATTGGAAACGGATAGAGGTTTTAGGCACATAACCTAATCCGAATCGTCACCCCAATACAATTTCTTGCGAACAAGATTTTCGGGTTTCGGATGCTGTACCCAAGCCCCCAACCTTCCTGGCCGTACGGTACCATACCGTACTGAGTACCGTACTGTAATAGCGGTAGTACTTTTCCGTATTACGTACCGATAGAATCGAATCAATCGTTGTGAAATCGCTTTCGAACACGATACCTGTACTACCAGACAGAATGCATCGCACCGGTCGGCGACGCAAGACATTACAAACCAGATACGGGTGCGCAGCGGAGAATGCTTTCATCGCAATGGACCGGCATCGTGCTTCGAATGGCTAGGGTGCGACCGCTCGGGCCGAATGCCTCGGGCTGCATTTCTAAAACTAGACTATGCCTCGCTGCCACCGAGTGCGGCGACGGTTGTTCGGAGCCGTCGGCTGGCCGTTTCCGGAGACAGCAATATCCTAGATATTTCTCGTCATCGGGTGCTGGGGTGAAACCTAGCAACACAGGAAAAGGCACAAATTTGATTCGCCTCACGAAGCGCATGGGAGAGCTAGACATGTTCAGCCGCAGGGAGGCCGATCGATTGATCCAGGACGGCCGTGTGCTCTTGGATGGTGAGGTGGTAGAGGTTGGACACAAGGTGCCCCCGGATTTGCAAGCCGATCGCATTTTTGTCGTTGATGAAGGAGGAAGCTCAGCTGGACACACGAATCAAAGGCACACTACTGGCGATGTGGTGACCGCCGTGGTTTTGAACAAACCTCTGGGGTATGTCTCGGGGCAGGCCGAGCACGGCAATCCCCCGGCGATAAGGCTGCTCACGAAGCGGAACCGCGCATGGGGCAAACACGACGACTACGACAGCGATTGTGGTAGCGATACCAGGCACTGGAAGGGCTTTGCCCCTGCGGGCCGCCTCGACCGGCTCTCTACGGGTCTCCTGGTCTTTACCAGCAACGGCGTCCTTGCGAAGAAACTCATCGGGGCGGCCTCCACCATCGAAAAGGAGTATATTGTCGATTTGGAGCCAGCCCTTCGCCCGACAAAGATGGAGCGCTCTATCGATCCGAGCTACGTTCCACCCCCTCCAACGCTCGACCTCGCGGAGCTACGAAAAGGGGGCAGATTCCTGCTGGGCGACGAGCATCGGCCCCTGAAACCCTGCCCGCAGGTTGAGTGGATTGGTGGTGCCGAGGGAGAGAACGAGACCCGACAACTGCGGATTGTTCTCACCGAGGGGAGGAAGCACCATGTCCGGCGAGTGTGCCGAGAGCTTCTGGGGCAGCACGTGGTAGGGTTGAGGCGGGTGCGGATCGGCCCGATCGAGCTGATGCCCGACGACGGAGCGGCGGGAGGCGAGTCCCTGCCGGTGGGCTGCTGGAGGCCACTTCGCGAGGAAGAGTTAGAGGCTCTACTTCGAAGGCACGGGTAGTGTCGGAGTTGGTATGGGTCTTTCTTTCGTGGCCGCCGTCCGCGGTATGAGATGGATTCGAACGACAGTGCCATGGTTTGCTCAGATCCATCCATCACCTGCTACAACTTGTCACGAAATCTAAGTTTCCATGATTGATACACTCTACTATTCAATAGTTATACTCGATGATGGAATAGTACCATTCTATTATTTCACTGCTACAAATGTCTGATCAATTGGCGTATACGATTGCTCACTTACCTTGGGCTTGGTGGTACAAGAATATCTGAAAATAACGTTTGTAGAATATCGTAATCTAGCACTATATTCTAAGCTGCGATATGGAATCCTCCATAGGTGATGAGAACTATTGAGCACTTGATTTAAATTGGGTACCATACTACGTTATGATGCAATTCCGTCTTTTCGCTTTTCGATCGTTTCACCTTCGTATCTGTCCTCTACTACCTTGTTTCGTCATCTCCCTCCCACGGCCCCTCAAGCTTCAGATTCACGTTCAACGGGGGTTTGTCGCTGCAGCCGCAGGTCACCCGGAGCCGCAAAAAGTTTTTGACGAGGAGTTCTTTCCATCGCTCTCCCTTGTGGGTCTGGGTCCGCTTTAGTTTGATCCTGCGGCCAAATTTTGGGTCCTCGTAAGCTTCTGCCTCGATCCAGTGTTTGTGCTCATCTAGATAGACCATGGCAGATATCCCCAGGTGGGGGAGAAAGACTGTAAAGGCTTTCATCCCGATTGACGTGACGACCGCCAGCTGTCTCTTTTTGGGAAATTTGCGGAGGTAAAGGGCCAGAAAGACGGCATCACTGCGCTCCTGGGCCTTGCGAGATCCTTCTTTCTTCTCGTTACAAGTACCACAGATGGCGCTGATTTCCTTGACCTCCATCGGAAAGTCTTCGACCGCGTCCTCTCCGTCGATGCTGGCCTGGAGCAGCCGGTGCACGATAACGTCCGCGTACCGTCGAATGGGGCTGGTAAAGTGTGTATAATAGGGGATGTGCAATGCAAAATGGGCCCATTCGGGTTGCGAGAGTGTGCCGGCTGCAATGTAGGTGGCCGGTTTCATCGGATTCTTGAGCAGCTCGGTGATGCACTTAAGCAGGATTGGATCCTGACATTCCTGGCTGAGGCGGTTGAGCGATTTCTGGACAGCCTCGGAACTCTCAATGTCGATGCGAAAGCCAATGGCCTCCATCGCCAGGGCAGCGGCCTTTTCTAGCCCCTCGTAGTCCGGTGGCTCGTGGTTGCGCAGGCAGGCCCGGGGCCCAGTGTTGGTGATGAGTCGCTGGGCAACCAAAAAGTTGGCAAGAAGCATATACTCCTCGACGAGCTTGTTGGAGTCCCGGATCTTGTATGGCTCGCACAACAGAGGTGTTTCCCGGTCGTCGTCCAGCTGAAAGGTAAGCTTGACCGCATCGAGGGCCACCGCTCCGTTTCGGAAGCGCAGCCTGCGGCGGGCCTGGGCTATTTCGTTCATCAGCCGGACGTCTGCGGCTACCTGTCCGATGGTGTGCCCCCCTGTTGGCCTCCGAGAGACCGGCCAGAGCTCTTCGTCGATTTCGTTCTCCCCTGGATAGGCTACCTTGTTTTCAATGATGTTTTGAGCGGTGGAATAATCCAGTCGGGCACACGATTTGATAACGGTTCTCCCGTACCATACGTCCTGTCCCTTGACGAGGCTTCCGTCACGGTTCATCCTCCATACACAAGAAAAAGCGAGACGCTCTACGTTTTCGTTGAGACTACAGGCAACCTCGCAGAGTGGCCTTGGGAGCATTGGGATAACTCGATCCACGAGGTACACGGTGGTGCATCGCCTTTGTGCCTCGACATCGATTGCGCAATCCGGAGTCACGAAAAACGAAACGTCAGCAATGTGCACTCCTATTTCAATCTGCCCATTTCCTAGGTCAGTTATATGGAGGGCGTCGTCCAAATCCTTTGCAGTGGTTGGATCAATGGTGAAAATCCGCTGGTTTCGATAGTCCCTTCGTCCCTCATACATGTCTTCAGTGGGTCTCCATCCGGATTCCGTCCCGTTGGAATACTGTCCCGAGGCGACAACGGTCTGACTTTCCTCTAGAACGTGGGAAGGGAACTCTCCATGGTCAACCCCGAATTCTATCAGGAGAGCCGCTGTCTCGTCCTCGATGTTCCCGGTGGCCCCAAACTGTTCGAGGTTCGAGCAGGCGGGCCATTTGTGGGTTTCCTGCCATGTTCCGTAGGTGTACTTTCCGGCAAAAATCGACCCCTCTGGGGCGTCCTTATATTTTTCGGCGTCGGCGTTCGATAGGCGAAACTGCTGCATGCTTCGGTTGTTGGACGATGTCAGCAGGGCCGTTCCCCCCTTGAGCCGTTTCAGGGTTCCAACTATACGCTTTGTGGGGGCCGAGCGATCCCTGGAATGACTGTTTTGTTTAGACTTGATCTCGCTAGACCATTCTTTCGGATGAACGACAAAGACCACCCTGCCGTGCTTTTGTTCCTTATCGAATGCGACACTAGGCGATGACGAATCTGACTTTGGAATCAGCTTCTTGTGCGCAATTGGCACCACCGGATCCCAGAGATTCACCTGATCGATGTCGTCTTGCCACCACTCGTCCTCTGATTCTTGTTCTTTGGTTTCGCTGCCCGGCTCCTCTCTGGGTGTGCGATCACTAGGTGCTGTCCCCTTTTCCTTCTCTTCCGGTGGCTTGGAAATGATTTCTACAAAAACAACGTCGCCGTCTAGGGCCCGATTGCGCTCGAGCGGCCCATCCAGGACAACGTCCTTGGACTGCGACCCGCGGTCGCAAGTGCAAAAGGCGGGTCCGTCCCGCACTGGCAAGCAGCGAATGGTTCCCCTGATAAGGTTGCGATCCCCCCTATTGTACCTGGTGAGGCACTCTTCCAGCGTAGCGTATTGCGGGTAGACCAAAGGGGACGAGGACGAAGAGAAAGACGAGCGATTGGACCTATTGGAACTTCTGTTGCCGTTGTTTTGGCCCTTGTTTTTCGACCGCCTGCTTCCGCCCTTGCTCCCTCCTCCGCCGCCGCGCCCCTGGTTCCCGCTCTGTTTTCTTCCGTTTTTACCACGACCGCCCCGGTCATTCTTGTCTCTCCCTGAATCCTCCCTGGTACTTTTCATGGTTTCTTCGTGTGTTGCTTTTGGTTCTTTTTCTTCTTTGGTTTGTAGCTAACGAGCAAAATGTGAGTCACTTCTTTCCGTAGTACAGCGTAGTCAGTGCAACTGGCCTACGGTACTGCTTTTAATCTTAGTCGAACTGTCCCTTTGTAGTTCGGTTTGTCTCTACCTCGTCGCTCTCCATGCGGTATTCTTTGGGTTTGGTTCTATCGAAGGGTGCTGTGCAATCCTTTGATTCGTTGTGGGTTTCAAAAAATTTATTGGCACATCACACGATCAGATCGAAAGAACCGAAGAGACTCATTCAGATGGATAGTTGATACGGTACAGTAGCACATGTACTGATACAGTCCCGTAGCTAGGTTCATACGGCTTTTACTACTGAACGAGAAAAATACGTTAACTTTGTAGTCCGTAGCTCGTACGGTACGTACGCTACGGTACGGTATTCCCCGGTGATGTACACGAGGTTCTCCGTCTTACCTCTGGCACCATGGCAGCTCGTTCTGACAATAATATTCAGCTTTTAATTGAAACCAATCGGATGGAACTGAAACTCAATCATCATGATTGCAACAAGAACAAGAAGGGATTGGAGTCTTTTAATCAAATCTAATACTAGTAGTACTACTACAACTAGCTGTCCATGATTCCCCATTAGTTCAAGCATTTGTAGTAAGAAGAACTCACCATACTAAGTTAGTAAATGTGATGGGAACAAACTACTATTGAAAGAATTTAGAAGCAAAGAACTAGTACTAGTACTACTAAAAATTAATGAAACAATCACCATCACTCTGGTGGCTGCTGTTTCTTCTTGGTGTTGTTCCTCTTTTTTTCTTTGTCTTGTTGTTGTTGTTTGTTAAACTATAGAGGAGTTCCTCATTGATTTGTTGCCTGCTGGTGCTATTTTCTTGGGTACTATTCCTCTCTGACATGTTGTTGTTTTTTGGAAGAGAAGAGGTGTTCTCCTTACTACAATAAGAAACAGCATATTGCATGTTGGTTTTTGTGTTGTAGAATCCTCCACCACCACCATTTACTACTAGTACCTCCTTGTTGGTACCCCAACAATATTCCAAATAAATGCGAAGTACCTTGACAACAAAAGCAGGAGATCATGTTTCCGGAGCTACTTGAGAAAGCAGCAGTTCTTTGTCATAGTCATTGTGGGGGCCATCGTGAAGTCGGACTTGTAATGAAATGAGTGTGTAGTAGTATTAGTTTTTGATGAAGTTCTTCCAGTTTGAAACTAAGAAAAGCAGAATTAAAACGAGAAAAAATCCTTGGGTGCTATTTTTCGTGTTTCATCCACCCATGGAATATGAATTTTGATGCAATGCGCACCCCTCTAAAATTAGGACCCATGCCGAAGAACAGGCAGAGTGTTGCAGTGGTATTTTCTGTTTGTTCTTTCTTTGTACGCTATTGATGTAGCAGTTGGTTAATAACAATTGTACTATGGTTTGGTTTCGTTCCCGTGGTTTCTTGTTTAGAAGTAGCGCAGTGCATTCCCGGACTTCTGATTCGTCCTTCTTTTTTTGAGTACAGTATTTGATTGTTGGTTCGTTCCTTCGTTCCTTTCTTTGGCTACTCGTCGTCATCTAAGACCGCCGAGCTCTTCTTTTTCTGGTGAATCTTTACCACATCGTCGTCGTCGTCGTCGTCAAAGACCATTTCCTCGTCGTCGTCGTCGCTGTCTTCCTCGACCGGCTTTCGCTGCCGCTTGCGACCCCGGTTGGCGAACGACTGGTCGTAGTCGTCGTCCGACTCGTCTCCGTAGTCGTCCATCTCGTCCATGTCGTAGTTGCTCGCGGAGGCCTTCTTCATAGCGCGCAAGTTTACCGTGTCGTAGCCCTCGTCGTCGTCCGCCTCCAGGTATCCCTTGTTCATGCCGGGGCGGCGGCCGCCGCCTCGGCTTCCTCCACCGGTCGCGCGCTTGCGCTGCTTGAGCTTCTCGGCGTCCTCGTTGTACTTGATTCGCTCCTGCTTGAGCTTCTCGGGGTCCTCTTCGGTCATGTACTGGGCGATCTTCGCCCGCTTTACGGTCCTCTGGCGGACGGCCACCGTGAGGCTCTTGTGCGACTCGGACTGGAGGGAGGATGGCTTGGCCACAAAGCGGCTCCCGACGGGACCGATGCATTCGAGGACGGTGCCGCCGTTCTGAAGGTCGTCTTCGTCGTCGTTGTCCGAGTCGTTCTCGTCGGTTTGGAAGGTAGCCTTCTGGGACTGGTAAACGTACCCGTTCAGGCCGGAGAACCCGCTACCGGTCGACGAATCGACGTTTTGGATGTCAAAGGCTTCCTTTCCAATGTGCAGTGTGAAGGACCCGTCACTCCACTTGACCAGCTTGGTGTTGCTCTCCCGGATCAGGCCCCTTTCGTCTCGCATTGGATTGCCGTTGTCGTCCTTCTTGTACCGCCAGCGGATCATGTTGTGCACGTATCCCTTGTAGGTCTCCTCCTCTTCCTTCTCGTCGTAGTCGACCTCGTCAAAGGCAGACGGTTGGATGGCCACCACGTTCGGCAGCTTGGTCATGTGCAGAGAGCATCCCTCTTGCGGTTTGCCGGCACTCGGGACCGTTGCGTTCTGGGTCCGTCCCTTTTTGGAGGCGGCCCGCCTTCGTTTGAGTTCGGGGTCTTCTTCCTTCTTCTTCGGGGGGGCCGACGAACCGACCACCGCGCCCGCGTCGTCAAAGACAGCGTCGTCGTCATCGTCGTCGGAGCTGTCGTCGAAGAGCCCGGCTGTGGAAGCGTCTTTTTTCGTTGTTTCTTTCTTGCCTCCCTGTCCCTTGCCTACGCTCTCGTCGTCGCTGTCGCCATCGTCGTCGTTTTTTCCCTCTTCCGCGGTCTTTGTCTCGCCGTCGCCCTTGCCATCTTCCTCGATTTTCGACTCTTCCGCAGCCTTTTTGTCGCCATCGTCATTGTCATTGTCATTGTCATCGGTGGTCTTCGTTTCCACGGGATTTTTCTCCTCTTCGTCCGAGGAGGAATCTTCGTCAAACATGATTGGTTTGTTTGCAGCAAATAACGTATGCGATGCGTCGATGTGTCGTGTCTATCTGTTCTACTGTAATGTGATGGGAGTAACTGTCAGAAGGAAGTCTATGTTCTATTCTGCTTCGGCACTATCGTATMGTATCGTATCGTATCGTATCGTACTACTTTGCTGACGACGACTTCAAAAGGTGGACATGACAGTACCAGTGCTTTGAAAATTTGCAGCATTTGTTGTGTCCGCTTGTTGACCTTCTACCGGTCCATATCATTTACCGTTCAAGAAAAGGTACGATGTCTTGTCACGTTCGCTGTAGAGGAAGAAATGTACAAGTTTGAGTGTAAAAATGCGGTACGACTATCAAATTTCAACAGGTTATGTGTTCAAGAAAAAGCACCAGTTTTAGTAATCAGCAAAAAGCTTTGCCAGCTTCTTGCTCCTCAGCACCACCCAAGCAAAATTGCAGACTCTGTTGATCTGAAAGGGTTTCCTTTTATCTTGTTCCTGTACAGGTACACATTACTGGGTTTTATTTGTAGAGAACCTTACTAGTAGTAGTAGTAGATAGTAGTAGTAGTACTACTACTAGTAGTAGTAGTAGTAGTAGATAGTAGTAGTAGATAGTAGTAGTAGTAGATTCTTGTACTTCTTGTTCTTGATTACTAGTAGTACCACCACCACTGGTGGTGCTGTGGGCACCACCACCACTACCTGCACTTTGGGTTTCAATGCACCATTAATAGTAGTTTAATTCAATGAGTTTATATCACTGGTAACACAGCAGAAAAGTTCTCTGATTCAGGCAATATCTTCAATCATTCCCGCCCTCATGATGGCACTGAAACCATTTGGCCCATGCTGCTGGTTGAAAATTAAGGAAGAATCTGTATGAAAATCAGGATGTGGTCAAAATCAGGAGGACAGACGGAATCAAAACAATCAGGACAACAAGTAATGCTGGCGTGTTCTTTTTTAGTCATCAATGGAGTCATTTGCAGCTTCTGCTGCATTGACCATCATGACAGCCATCCCCTAGTAGTACTAGTACTAGTAGTGGTAAACACAACCTCCTCTCCTCCTCCTCCTCCCTCCTGCTGCTCCCTGTCATCCTCGTGTGCACCACCACCACTTTTTCACATTCGTCTTTTTTAGCTACTAGTACTAGTAGTAATTGGTGTCATTACCAACAATGGGGTCCTCTGCTAGTAGCTACTATGTATGAGTGAATCAGGAGTAACCACCCAGCATGAATTGGTTCTTGAATTGGTTCTTGAAGAACCAAATTACTTCAGGACTATTTCAGTGCAAGAACCCATCAAATAGAGACGTACACCACAGTAGACTTGTTGCTATTAATGCATGGTACGAGTTAGTTTATCTACGTACAGATTTTGCAAAGCGATAGTACTAGTAGCCTTCCTTTCAGCTGTCAATCAATCAAGACTGTCATTTTCTTCAGGTTTGGGTCGACGCTAACTAGCAGAATAATCAATAATCGGTCCCCTCGCAAAGAAGGCAGATTCCATGGCGATTGTGATTACTTGAGGACTCGGTTTGGTTCTGATAAATAGGGCACCGCACGACAAAAAACGTCGCGTTGCGTCGCGTCGACGGCACAGCCCGGGAACAGGAAACCCAATGTTCTTCGCAAAGCGCTGGCTCCCAGCGGTTCTGGCCGTCGATCTCGTGTCCCGTTCGTTGTCCCTGGTGGGCAGGACGGCGGCTCCGGGTTGCATTCGCGCTTTTCCACAGCCAACACAAACCACACCGCTGGGAGCCTCGGTGCTAGATCTGTTTCGGGTCCTGGAAGAGGAGGAAGAGGAGGCGTCCAAGAACAAAAAGAACTCTCGATCGAAAGCCGGTGCCGCTCTGGAAATGCGAGAGCCCAAGCCATTTCGAATGGAGTTTGAGGAGGAATATGGCGAGGACGAGGAAGTGTTTGAGATGACCGACGAGGACAACGAAGATGAAGACAGCAATGAGGGCTACCAGGAAAACGAAAACGAAAACGAAAACGACAATGACAACGATGGAAATGACGAGTACGTGGTTTCGGACGCAGAGGCGCTCCTCGCATGCTGGTCTTTCCTGAAGCGACGGAAGAAGATCGGACAATGGAACGAACACGAAGAGCGCAAGGCACAGAAGGCCCTCTCGCGGAATTACTTTCTAACGGACGAGGAAGTCGGCGAGGAGCTGCTCAGCGAGATTATGTTTGACGAGGACGACGACGACGAGGAGGACGACGACCAAACGTCCCGAAGCGACAAAGAAACTGACAACGATGAGGATGCGACGGATTCCGATGTCTATGGAGGCGATGCCTTTGCTTCTATGGCTACGGTCCAGGATCTTCTTTCGGCGAGCAACCCGCTAGATGAGGATCACGGAGTCGTCGGAGATATCGACGACTACGGTGTTTCCACCGACCTAAAGTTCCTTTCCGATCTCGTTGCGAACAAGGCTAGCACCGAGGGGAGCGGCACCAAAACTAGAGGCGGTCGTGCCAACGACGACATCGATTTGTCGCACACGGAATTCACTTCCTTTCCCACCGAACCCTCGGAGACCCGGCTGCGGAGAGTGGACGCCATGAAGAAGCGGTGGGAAGACCCGTCCTACCGCGAAAAGTGGTACCAGACGCGCTGGGGCGGAGATCGCAAGAGAAAGAGGGAATCCCAGTCCCTCCGGGAGCGAACGGCCATCCAGAGGGCGAGGGAACTCCCGTCCGGATTCTTGGGATCGGACGAGCTGGCGTCCATGACGGAGGAAGACATTGCCGACGCCATTCGAGATCGGGTCGAGTCGACCCGCAAACGGGTGGCCAACAGAAAGGAAACCATCGAGGGGCGCAGGGACACGCTGGAGGCACAGATGAAGGCCCTCCTACGGGCCGCAGCGGAGGAAGCCGAAGCCGGCGTAGGCAACGACGAGTCGGAGCTCCGCGGTCTCTCGCGCGACGCTCTCTTCGACACCGATCCGAAAGAGCTGGAGGAGGCGAAGCGGAAACGATCCGAGCGGGCCAAAAAGCTGTACGCGACCCGTCGGAAAAACCAAGAGGCCAGGAAGAACACGGAACGAGCCGAAAAGGAAGAAGCTTCCTCGTTGTCCTCGTTGCCACGGTCCCCCTCTTCGCTGCAGAAAAAAACGAGTCCCCGTGGCAAGGGCCCGTACTACCCACCCAAGCAGCGAACACCCCGGGACGCCTTTCTGAGGATCGAAAACGACCTGGACCGCGGGGCAGCTCCTTCGGAAGACGACGTTCGTCTCGTTCTGGTGCCCGGGAAAATGAAGAACCGAAAACCCCTTCTGGGCAGGATACTAAGGGACGAGTTCGGCCTGAGGGGAAAGTGTGTGCCGCCGATCGCGAGCGAAGATTCAGAAGAAGACGACAATTTCGGCGACCTAGAGTTTGTGCAGCGCTGCACCATCGAACGACTCGGGGCCTTCATTCTCTGTTTGCTGAAAAAAGACAAGAAATCGGGAAAGGACAACGCAATCGTAACATAGTAGTATAGTACGGTAATATTTTAGTTAATAATTCACTGTAGCTCGTTGAAAGTGGCACTAGTGTGTTTTGCCTTGTGTTGCTTCGTCCTGCGAATGAATGGCGTGTGTATCCTGTATTCATGGTAACAGCATATTTTCAAGTACATTCGGATGTGAAACGATGCGATCGCTGATTGTGATACTAGATACGATTTCTAGAATGTGCCGATTTTTCGGAGAAGATGTTGATTCGACGTGTACGATGACGTATGCCTATGTCATTGAGGACGCGAAACCTTAAAGAGAAAGGTATCAAATGTGTAAATTCTTCCCTATT